AGCTGCCTGATTTTGCTGGTTTCAGGACTGCCTCTTTGCCTCGGCCTGCTGAACAAGGGTCTCTTCAAATTGGGAGAGGCCATGCTGCACCGCTTGCCTCCAGGCTGAATGCTCAGAGGTCAGAGTTTCCCATCTGTTGAGGTCCATTTCTAAGGTTTTCAGATCCCGCTTGCAGATATCTTTGTATCACAGCTGGGGTCTCCCTCTGGGGCGATTTCACTGCACTAATTCTCCATACAGGAGATCTTTTGGAATCTGATATCAAAGGGATCTGATGTTGAGCCATCAAAACCTACAGTGCCCTTCATTTCCACATGAAAGGACCTGATGATGTTAAGGAGTCGAGGTGGACATCCAATCTTGGGAAGTATTTTAAAAAGGCCATACCTGCTAACCAAATCAAAGGCCTTTGTGAGATCTATGAAGGCCACAAAGAGTGACCGTCATTGTTCCCTACTTTTCTCTTGCTACTCTCTGAGGGAGAATACCATGTCAGTGGTGGATCTATTAGCTCAAAATCCACACTGTGATTCTGGATAGACTCTGTCTGCCAGGACCTGGAGCCTGTTCAGCACAACACGGGCAAGCAGCTTTTCTACAACGCTGAACAGAGAGATGCCATGGTAGTTACTGCAGTCACTCCTGTCACCTTTGTTCTTATACAGTGTGATGATGTTTGCTTCACTTTTAAATTGTTGCTCTCTGTAAAACATTTTGTGTGTCTCTTACTATTGTACTTTTTAAACGTGCACTCCACGTATAGTCGCTCTGATTTTTCTGTAAAAAATTTCTTTGTGTCTTTTTAACTCTCTTTATAATGTGCATGAATATATATTTTCCTCGAAGCTTAATTTAATTTCAGAGTTTTTGTCTTGAAATTTTATTTCTTGCATTGTGGTTTGTTTTTATGCCCTTTTTATATTTTGTTTTGCATCTTAAAACTCACTTGTAATTAAATCATTAAATGTTACTGTTTTTTGGGGGGCATTTCATTTGCTTGCAATTGAATTTTATTT